TTTGGGTGAGATCCAAGCCGGGTCGACATACTTAATGAATTGGGTAATGACATTGTTTATTCGATGTGCTATTAGGATATTTACGGTCACCATGTGCGTTAGTATGATGATGTCCCCGAAGTGAGTTCATGAAGGAATATTATGCTAAACCCTGCAGGTGGATTTATTCTGGCATAATATGAATGCTATGAGAGAGCGCTAGCTTCGGTAATATAATATATTAATTAATTCTTGATTATTAGTGATCGAATTAATTAATGGTGTAATATCCCGAGATATTATCAGTATAAATTACGTTTAATTCTGATATAGTAACATTATTGTTTATTATTTTCGGAATTAATTAAGTTCAGTCGGGATTACCGAAATCTATTTTCGGCGTACCGTTTACGTCCGAAATAATTTTGGTAATTAAGTATTATGTTTAATTTAACAATTAAACATAAGACAAGTGATTAATTAACATTAATCACAATCATTAGCCTTAATGCCGTGAGATTAGAGTATTTCTCCAAAATATTTCCAAATTTTGCCGTGGGTTCTTCATGCTTAAGGAAGAAGTTCTTCCACCAATTAAATGAAGCAACTTGTCAAGTAAATAAGCTCCTTAGTCATCACAAGTTAAGGGAGAATTTAGCAAGTGTTAATAGCCTAACAAGGCCACGCAAGGCTATCGTCACCACATCACTCTCACGGCTATCTATATAAGCCATACTTAGAGCAAAATTTTGCCACTTTTCCTTAAGCATCGTTCAGCAAACCTTAACCATTCTACCAGCAGCAAGATCATCCATCATTTTCCCTAAATTTCTTTTGCAACCGCACGGCAATTTAAGAAGCCATCGCACTGAGTCTTTGCGAGAAGAAGTCACGCCTTAATTTCCGATTCCGTCGAGCGTTCAGAAAGGTAGACTCCTCTTCAGTTCATAGACTTGTTAATTAGGTTAATTCAGAGTTAAGTGTTCGGATAATTGTCGGAATTTTCAGAAGAAAGCCGTGCCTTAGGGCCGGTTAGGTGAGTAAGATCACAATCGATTTATGTTCAATTCAGTCCGACATGTTCCGAGCATTTATCGTTTATTTAGCCTCTATTCAGTTATCCATGTGCAGTCAAGTGAGTATTGTCGTGTAAAAGTGAAGTTTTGCCGATGATATGGCCCCAGCCGGCGCCCCCGCGCCTATCGCGCGTAGCCACGGGTAGCCGCGGGCCGAGGCTTGTACTTCAGTATTTAACCGAGTTCTTCCGTGTAATTAAGCTTTATTTTGTTTCAATTCAGTAATCAAATAAAGCTGTTCAGTAGTGGTCGGATAATATATTAGTTTGGCCGAGAAACGGCGTGTAGCCGTCGGCGGCGCACGGGCGCTCGCCGCGGCCATTACATGTGCGATATGTGTTTGCTGAACCATTCAAGTTGTGTTCGGTCAGGTTATTCATGTTAAGATCAGTACAGTTAAATCGGTCGAGTTACTTGCTTGTTGGTCAAGAGGCGGCCGAGGGCCGTAGGCCTCGCACGTAACGAGTGCCACGGCCGAGTATTAAGCCCGATCAACCATTTCAGTAAATTCGTGTTAAATTCACCTTAATATTCATTTTAGGTCATAACATGTTAGTTGGAGTCAGATTGGTCGGATAGTTTTGCCGGACAGTCGGCACGGAGCCGACTGTGGCCGCGCTGCCGCACACAGCGGCAGCAACGCCTCGGCCAGCGACCCCGTGCCAGGCAGCGCACGCCAACGC